TTCGGTACGCACTTAATTAACGCGCCTTAATTAAAAACAACACGTCGATTAGATATTTTAATTAAACGGACACTCGGAGCGAACGCTGCAGGCCTGCAGGCTTGCAGCAACCTTAAGGTATCGTTAACATTCTTTTCACTCCTTTTTTTTGCTCCGCCGTTGTTTCTGGTGTGCTTTCAATCTCGCTGATACGCCGTAATCACCAGGCCGTTTAAAACGAACAAATATCTGTTTTCCGTTTGAAGTATAAAGGGTTAGTTAGGCTTTTTTCCTACAGATTATTTCAACTTAATTTTATTATATACCGAGTGATAAATAATAATAAAATAAAATCAATTAATTGATTGTTCCGATCGTTTCGCACACTTACTCAATAGAAATTGTAAAATTAAATAGGGATATAAAAACGTTGTAAAACAAATGTACACACGCGATAACTGTGCACACAGCGCGAATTTTTTTGATGTCATACCGTATATACTCTTATTGCCTCCTTATTGTTTTATAGCAACATATAACAAATTGATACAGCAGTTAACACATTTTTATTGCCGACCGTAAACAAATAATAGAAATCTCACGGCATCTCACACTCGGTCGACGCGCATTCCGTAAGTCGCTAGTTATTTTCGTCATTTTATACTCGTAAATTTAATTGCTCAAAGCATAATACATTTTCATTAATACTAAAAGATATTTTAATATCCTCGAATATATCGTTAGTTTTTCCACACACATTTCCTCCTCGGCGGCGCGCACATTTTTATACGCGTATAATTATTTTACGGCGCGCGCATGTTTAACGACTGTCAATTAATTAAGTCGAGCCATTCGAACATTATGGAATTTAGCAGGGCGCGCAATGAAACGGACGCGTTCGTAGACACGCGACGGGAGATTAAACCGATGTCACTTGTGCCGGCGTGAGTTTCTTCACAACTTTTCCATACAGTTTCCTTCGCCGTGTCGTGCGTACACATGTGAATGTTTTGTTTAAAAATAAACAGTATAATTTGAGCAAGCGAGCGCATAAATATTACCAACGACTCGTTTCGCGTGACGCTTTCTTCCCGAAATATAAATCAACTCGAGTTATCTTCGCTATGCGCGCGCATACAAGTGCACTCATATAAAGGACGACTTCTCACATGTGACCATCAAGCGCTTTTCCGTTTCAGACATTCTTTTCGAAAATATCTTAGAAAAACTTTTCGAGTATTAAACAATTGAAAGAATTTACGATTGAAACCTCGGCAGCCAGTTAAAAATGAAACTCGGACACCACAGGGATTTGAAAGGCCTCCCATCGTTAAGATTATTAGATGGCAATCAGCTTTACCACCCTCCAAGAAGTCCAGTCCGACAGAATATTAAAATTGTGTGGACCAAAGCAGAAGCACGAAAACGAGGAAATTAAATTTGAAGAAAAAAAAATTAATTTATCGCCCTCCACTCAAAGAGTCCCGGCTATAAATAAATCATTTTTATGTTTACGATTCACGGCGTGCAGCCGCATATGCCAAAGTTTGAAATTTCGTTACCGAGAAGAAGACATAATTTCGAGACGTGGTGAGGCGGCGCGCGTATCGATTAAGCAATCACCGAAGAAAATGACGCATAGACAATGCGCGTTTTGTCTGGACTTCTAATAGATCTGTCCACTGGCGGATGTGGTGGTAGATGCATGCACTCTCATATCTATAATGAACGTCGAATTGACGATAGATATTAGGAATGTGGCGGTATTCTCGGTTGGTCGTTCATTCGCTTATAGAATCTCTCGCCGCTCCCCGCTGTCGCCCGCCACAACCCAACCGACCGAATGCGCGCCTAGCCTATTTCGCGATACACGAAACTTCAATTTATGAGGCTTGCATGGGTATTAGTTTGCTGTCAGTTTAATTAAATGAGCTTAATTACATCCTCGGATAGTTGGACGAAGAATTTCCACCCAAGCGAATATATATATATGAATATACTATATATATATATAATGGCGGCGGTTGTAACGTCGGTGGCGGCAGCAACACCAGGAGGCCGGCCGGCGCGTGAATAAGCATCTACCGTCTATTATCATTCGCCCCTTCTTCGCACGTCTTCATTACCCACATGGCTATACCAAAAACAATTGTATTAATATTAATAACTGATTGCATTCAGAATGTTTTAAAGCTTGACCACTACCTGTTTGACAGTATAAATATTTTTAATAATAACTTCAAAACCACTTGACTTAATTAAATACTTCTCTAGAAATCTCCTTGGGTACTTCTTAATTAAGCTATAACGAAATTTAATTCAGATCAGTTTCTGTTCACAAATTTCATATCAACTTCAATCAATTATATAAGTTTTAATTAATTAAAATTTTAATGATCTGTGTATGTAAAATACAAATTTGTGATGGAATTCACCTAAAAATTAAATAGTTTTTGAGTGAATTGGTAGCAATTAACCGCACAACACTAATAATATTCTCCTTCCCGGCCTAGGCATTAATCGAAGTCTAGACCGAATAAACCACGACCTATGACAAGTATCAACCGAAAAAATAATTGAAGCAATAACATAAGTTCGCCTCATTTATCCTGTAATGAACAATGAAGCAATAAAACAAAGCAAACGAAAAACGCTGCCGGGCATTAAAAGGACAACCGTCGCCCCACACACACCGACTGACTATAAATCGTATACGATGTACGGAAAAAAGAAAAAGACGCCGCTGCTAAAAAGGTAAATAAACTCTTATCTTATCGTGCACGATGTGTATGTATGTATGCGCATACCCGGGCATAATTACTTGTAAATGTTTGTAACCGACTTGAACGAACCAATTCGTCGCAATCGTCGAATGTGTTGCTTTTATTCCATGTTACGAAGCGCAACCAGCGAGCGATATAAACGTTACTTAATTAGTCGAACCACCGAAATCTTGCGACATGCAGTAAATTGGAGTGCGCCCTCAACACGCCTTGGCAGGCAATAAATTATACATATGAAGTAATTGCGGGAAGAAAGCGAAAATTCGAAGATCATTTCAGCGGTCTTCGGTTTTATTATCGTAATTGGAAGTGAGTTACTCGTAAATCGTTCGTTTTCCTGTGCTTCGATTGCAATTCTACCAAGTAGGTATAGCATAAGTACAAGTAAAGTCTTCGTCGACGTTGTGTGTTTGCAATAAAGAAACGGATTAAGCATCGCGACGCGTCTCACTCGACAGAATTTATAATTGCGCGCGGTTTTAATATGGCCACGTTGAGACACCCAATGCCGATGGAGAGATTTAGCTAGCCACACAAACGTTGCGTCATAAAGATGCCTGCACGCTGGGTTGCAGATTACGGCACATAAAAACACAACCTCTTTATATGCGGGCATTAATATAGTTCTAAATCAACAATATTTTTTTGTAAATAATTACTTAAATACAGAATCTATAAATATGGATAATAATAATTCTGAATGGGCTCATGGATGAAGTAATTATTTAATTTTTAAATAAATAAATCCGGTTCTGCATGGGGTGTAAACTGAACAAAGATGATCCACACCGAGAATAAACTGTAGAATGCAGATAGAAGTATAAAGTTTTTACGGCTAAGGCAATTAAATCCATATCTATACGTATTTACGTCTGGAAATTAATTACCATTCTTGGTATTGTGAAGATAACCGAAACATGAAGTAAGCAAAGGCGTAATGAGACAACGAGCAAACGAGGGAAGAAAATATACGACGCCCGACAAGAGGTTGCTTTTTTTTCTTGCGTTTGCTTGCTTCTACCGAAGTGTATGCATATACCTATAGAGGAGGAGATGAGGGCGAGATTTCGAGTTTTATTGTTTTTTGCCTTCGTAAAGTTATAAATTAACGCGGCGATTAATTCTCAGCAAAATATATCATGTGCAACATAAAATTTTTACGTCCGCGAAACTATCGCAAAACGCAAAGCACTAAATATAAAATTAATTAATTGCGGTGATTAAACAAGAAGTTCATCATCTCACAATATGACGATAATTTCCCACCTAAAAAAAACACGTGCGAACGATACAGAGAGTGCAATTGGGAAAATGGCATTCATGGTCGATTTGCGTTTTCAATCCCCGGAATCGGTCGATCCGATGAGCAATGCGCAATACCCAATTTTCGCGCGGCCACATACACTCGTTCGTGAAGCTTTCGTTTAACTCGCTCATTTAACGCATCGACTGTTCAAACGTCGAAAATTTTCCAAACTGTTTTATGCGCGATTGTGACGGATCGTGCGTAAATGTTGTTGCGGCGTTATTTTTTCGTAATTTCGGATTGTCGCATATAAAGCCGATTGATGCAAATGCAATTCAAGAATCCGTGTTATCCTACGCCCGCAATGAACAAATTCTGCAGCCAGGGTAATGAATAGTGTGTAGTAATATTTCTATCCCACGCGAAATCAATTGGCCGTGGTTTGCAGAAAATTAATTGTAACATCATCCGGAAAACGAATATAATTGCAATTCGGGTGCACGCCTGGTGTATGGGTCGTTTAATATCGCGCCTGCCGAGCCTCAACCGAGAGTCTACAAATGTAATTCTAGTACTTGTAATAATATTCAAGTGCGACTGGAAAATCCGAAAAGAACACAAGACGGAACGAATGCGCGGAAGCTGTGCGAAAACGTTTCGCTTTCCGTGCGTGTGTGTGCACCACCACGACTAAAACACACAAATGCAGCCGAAAGAGAGGCCCTTCTTTAATTTAAATTCTTCATTCTAGCGCTTTAATCTCGGGGGACGCGATGCGCTGCTCGCAAAGTTACAGAAAACCATCTCGCAACACAAGCCCCCAACATGCTTGGAAGCAAGCGAGAGAGTAAAACACGCGCAGTTTATTTAAACCGCAAAACGCTCCTAGTTTTTGATTAATCAAAGCGCAAATTAAGTACGAACTTGAAGATAAAATAAAAATCTTGTACCAGACATGGAGACAATATATTTCTGTCGTGAGTTTTACATACCTTGTTTGTTTGCATCAAGATAATTAACAATATGGGGTCTGTAACAAATAAAAAAGAAATATATCAATATCAGACAAATGGTATGTGCGTAAGAAAAATATTGCTAACAGCGTAATGTGAACATGAACATGCGAGAGTGACATGTTATCATATTAAATGCGACTGCGCGGGGGTGAGAGGACCGGATTATGCCACAAAACGATCCTCGGAGACTCGGTGGTCCCGGGACGATTTACTAAAGGGTTTCCAGTTAAGTCGGCGGCGGTAATGCGCGCCAAGTGTGGCGGCGCGACGCGCTGTGGTTCACGAAACACTCGTTTATTATACATCCTTATTATGCCGCCGCTTACATGACATTTAACCGCTTTCCTCGCGCAATTTTTGCGTGCTTTAGTGAAAAATCATTGTAAACAAACACGCGGTCATCTTTATCTCCTCCGATTTTTATCCCCAACTGTTAAAATGTCAACGGAGACAACTAAGTGAACAGGCAAATATTGCCGAACAAATGTTTGATTTGTAGAAATAAGAAGTATTGGACGATGAACGCGGGGATAATGCGAGGCGTGTATAAACGCAATGGAAAAAAGATATTTTCGAGATTTCAAGTGATTGTTGACACAATACGTCGAGGTAAACATCTTAACTCGCTATTTAAATATTGACGTTGGTTCATTATGGAAAGAGTAAGCACGATTCGAAGAGCGTTCGAAGAGATGGGCACAAGGATCAGGAACAAGCACCAAACCAACTGCATTTTCATCGGCAGTGAAGCGAATGTGCCAACCTTGAAGTAAGTGTTATTATCTATCAATTAAAAAATTATCATCGTACACACTCATAATGTTATGATTACTGCAACGATTATCGCGGTAAAATAGCGTAATATTAATATATTGTGTTGATTGCTTTGCAAATGACGTCATTTAAATTTATCAACATTGCACAAGAATAATAATAATCACAATACACGCAATTAATAAATGTATCAATATATAAATATTCGAAGAAGTGATAAATCACAATTCAATGAGATTTAATTTTTTTGTAATTGACACCTCAAAAGTGCAATTTACGTACGCCAATAGTAAAATAATTATTTGTTTTGATATTTTAAATTCGTAGGCTAGTGTTTACAATCCTGAAAGGCAGAAACGAGGCGCACGTGATATGGAAAGAAATGAAAGCAACGGGAATTTTATGTCGACGGCACATGTGTGCCGAAGTAATCGTATAAATAATGAATAAATATTAATGCAGTCGTACCCGCACGATGCACGCGTGCGCGCACATAATTCGATACTAATGTATCATTAAGCGATCACGTATTCAATTAAATATTTACATAAAATAAATCGACTCGCGTTACGCGGTGCTTGGCTATACCCGCGCACACCACACCAACTCACACCAGCTAATTGAAGGTATACAAATGCGTATTAGGTACGCGTATCGTTTAATTGACATGCACGTGCCATTATCTAACCTATATTGAGAGAAATCTTTTTGGTTATTAAATGCGCCACTCGGTGGCACTGGCACCACAAATCAAATTAAGGTTTCAATAGTATTACTCTATAAACAGGTTGGTTGGGTGATTTAACTTTTTTGCTTTGAAAACAATAAGTATTAAAAAGTTTAAAGAGGAAATGAAATCCTATAAAAACACTGAATAAAATGAGCCAACCGAAAAAGTTCCTAATGCGCTGGAAGGGTCTTCGTTGGTGGTTTCGACGTTTACGTAAAGATCCCACAAGAACAACACGACGCCGTCGCCGAACAAGAAGAATGGTGGAGAGAGCAAGGAGAAATATAATGGGATGCGTGCATGCAACAGTGGCGTGCGCGTGTAGTATGTGTGTGCCCCCTCGTGAACACCGCGGTAATTATTTCAAATTGGTGGCGTATAAACCGACGCCGAATGTTACACCTTCGGCCATTATTCTTCGACTTTATATGCAGGTAAAAGGTCCGCGCGCCGACATAACCGACTCAACTTTATTACAACAACACTAACAACAAACGCTGAGTGTATCTATGCGAAAGCGTGCACGATTCGTACTGAACAGACCCCACTAACGTGTACTTTGTTGTGCGTCGCGCGCGGTTCTATTTTAATAAAATAAAAGCGGCCCGCCTTTCGTCACACTTATCACGTCAACGTCAATCTTCTTCGCCGCGCCGCTGCAAACGTTTTTCATAACATAACAATCTGAACAGACTAGATCCATGCACAAATCCATTCAGAATGAATAGGAGAATAATACCACTTTAACCAATAAGAAGTAAAATGAGCATCAACTCGCGCAGGCTCTTGGATTTTTTATTTCTATTTCAAGTAAGCGCGTAGGCGTGCAATGCTATAATTTACACTGAATATACGAACGATGAATAAACCATATAAACTTAAATTAACTGAAATACAATGGTAGGTAGTACGAGAGGGTGAGTATAAGCTAAGTAAAGTTAAGTATACACTTACTGTACGCTAGTACGCTAGTTTAGTAAAAATATCGTTTTGGCGATATTGTGAGGGTATAGCGTACAGTAAGTGTTTACTTAACTTTACTTAACTTAAATTAACTATATATTTAATTATAAACAAAAAAGAATACTACAGGGATATAAATTAAGGCGCCAAATGCATCCGCGAAATTTATTGTAAAATTTAAATATGCAAAGCGAGAGAAACAACACCATCATGATTGTTGTTAGGTTGGCTGTAATCCGTGCTTAAACTGCGCCACAGCTTAAGACCTTACCGGAGACGATGGAAAAAATCCGCCGAGCGCGCTTAAACCGTGCGTGACCGTTTATGTGTTATTAGTGGAAGTCGCTGAAGTCCCCCCCAGGTCCGCCACACGATGCTTAAACTCATCGCACACACGCGACTCGATTGACGTGTGTATGTGTATGGGTTCTCTTCGTCCGCAGGGAACTTTTCTTATTCTTGCGCTCTTCTTACACTGTCTCTCGCTGTATTCACTTGTAATACCTTTGATACTTAAACGCTTACGTCGGCGCAGGCGGTGTGTTCCGCGATGGCCGGCCTACAACAACAAAAACCAGTTTTCGACCAGAAGAACTTCTTCCTCCAGCGCGCCGCCGGCAGACGACAGCGTTTACAGAGTAAGTACTACAAACTACACATTGTGCTTAAAATACTCTCGGTATGGAAAAAATAAAATTAAGTAAAATGTGTTAAAGTTGCTTTTCTTTTAGTTTAGCTTGATGCTGAATTGCAATGAATGAAAGTCGCTTATATTTATTTAATCACCGACTGTAATGCCCGTTAATATCCGTACTTACATAAATGAAGGGCTTTAAAAACAGATTTGGAAAAAACAAAAGCTGCATTATGAAAGCGAGTTTGTTTAGTCTAGCGAAGCTCGGGACATTAGCTCACGTTGTAATAAACGCTACAAGATTAAAAAACAAATCAGCCTTTTGCTTTGTGTTTTATTTATAAAAGTGTACATGAATGCAAAAAAAGGAACACAGCTAGTTTTTGTTTGCACTTTTAAATATCCAAACGACCAGTGTATTGCATTGTAATAGACTAAAAACTTAAAATCAGACCAACAATAAAACACCCAACCGCAGGAAGAAAAAAAGAAGAAAAAGCACCTCAACAATATACACAATCAGAGCGCTTCATTATTCTGATTAAATCGTTTCATCTTGCGGGATTCGTTCATAAAAACTCAAAGCGACCGAGCTTGAAATAGAGGGAAGCACAAGAAAAAGAAAAGTCCCGAGATTATTGAGTGGATTTTTAATTAAAAATTAATTAATCTGGTAGGTGCTGAGTGCGGCAGTGTTTCGTTCTGGTTTCGGTGCACGCCGACGTGCTGAACACCGAGGGAAAAACGTTCGTTCCCGTCTGAAGCCAGAGCAAAACGATAGCAGCGGAGTAGTGTTGTTGTTAGTTGTTGAATAATCTTCGTCTCGCTTTTATTATCCGCAGCGCATTTTCATGCGAATCGAAACCCGACAAATTGCTGTATGAAAGAAAACCAACTCAATGAAATTCCGAACTGCAATATTAAAGTATAATTGGGAGCTACAGAATCAATGATCGTAGATCATCGTCACAGGAAGTGCGCTGAACATTTAAAGATTCTGAAAATGTCAAAAATAAGAAATTCCGCGACGATAATAAGGGCAATTATGTCCCCGAGTCTACCAAGTTTCGACGTTTATTCCTGTCGCCAAGCGTGCGAGATGCCCGTTGGAAGTTTCGTAATGAATTCTAAATGCGATCGAGTTGAAATTTTTAAATGAGCCGTGAATCCTTAGTCGTTGTTGGTCGGGCTGGGGCAGGACGTTCGCCTCGTAGTTTACGCTTTTTACGAAAATTTTTATTACTCGCATTTTGTGTTTCGTATTATTTATCCCACCGCTGTAACGCAACCAGGTTTGTAGGTGTATAGCTCCGCCAAGAAATGATGTTTGATCTTGTTGCTTGGTTTTGTTACGCCGGCCGCCTTTGACAGCACATTGAGTATACTTAAAAATTAGTCACGTTTTTCCAAACTTCTTTTACTTGCGTCATTTCGTCAAGTTTCATTAGCACCGTAGCGGAAACTGAATGAACAACCGATTGAAGGTTGTAGTTGATAACAGTAATGTCCCCGGCATTAAACCATCAAAAGCAGGACGATTATGCCAAGTAGATTATTATTAAATATATTGGTAGAGAGAGCAATCGCGGCGATAGTAACTGTGCCGGCAAACAGCCCGCAAACAAACCATCCATCCATAGTAAATCAATTATTATGTTCAACCTAATATGATTGATGTACATGTCAATTAGCTTGTCCGTTACCCACCGTGCGTTTCTTGCGCTATTGCACGTACTCCTGGCACATAACAAGCACGGCTTCCTCGAAGAAACGGACGAGAACCAATGATCCTCGCGCGCGCGTCTTAATCGGACTTCATTCGTCAAACCAGATGCCAAGAGAGCCAGATGAAAAAACCCAATCGCCGATTATTATGTTACCGCATCGGTAACTCATTCATTGATCGAACCAGA